TGTTTCACTGCACTGCCATCATGTTGAATGCCAAAAAATTATTTCTTCGATCACCAGCCTACTAAGAAAGAAATGAGCTGTGAATCTTAAAAGTTTCAGGAACCGGCTCTTGGGCTTGGATCAGGTGGCAGCCAGGTTCTATCACTCAGCCTTGGCCAAAATCAAGTCTCGGGACCTTCTCGGCAAGAAGGAGAAGCTGTTAAAAGAACTGGACGATCTGAAAGTGGAGCTTTCCCAGCTGCGCATCACCAAAGTGACAGGCGATGCGGCTTCTAAGCTCTCCAAAATCCGAGTTGTCCGAAAATCCATTACCCGTGTTCTCACTGTCATTAACCAGACTCAGAAGGAGAACCTCAGAAAATACTATAAGGGCAAGAAGTACAAACCCCTGGATCTGCGGCCCAAGAAAACGCGTGCCATGCGCCGAAGGCTCAACAAGCATGAGGAGAACCTGAAGTCCAAGAAGCAGCGGCAAAAAGAGCGCCTGTACCCACTGCGGAAATATGCAGTCAAGGCCTGAACTTCTTAAATAAATAAAACACAAAACTAGGAAAAAGAAAAAAAAAGTTTCAGCAACCAAAATATTAGTCAAGCTCCTGATTATTATCTAGCTAAGTAAATGAAAGCTTTGCCTAAAGCCAAAGAGGGGCATTGTCCTACCTAAACAAGAAAGGAAATGGACATCTCTAAACAAAGCAACTATCCCTCTGAAGAACTTGATTTTTTTATAAAAAGTATAAGCAAGGCTAATTAAGAAAAAGCAAATAGCATAAAAACTATGCACAGGTCTCTGTGGCCTCATAAAGACAGTAACCAATTATTTTAAAAGTAGTCCAGTCCAGTCTACACTATATTGTGAAGAATGTATAAGGAAGTGAATCTCAGTTTAAAAAAAAAAAAGATGAGATTATATTTCACATAACTTTTAAAATGGATGAAATCTGGTAAATTAAACATAGTGCTTGAAACTGTTTCGATTCTTAACTCTAAGAGGTGAGAAATAAAAAACACAACTTAAGAGCCTTAAACCACAACAGAAAAGTTTAAATGAAAGAAATTGTAGCTTAACTGTCACCAGACAAGTTATAGTAACAATGTAATGCTGTTCCTGCATATTAGAATGTCACTTGAAGTATTACTGATTTGTTAAGTCATGTAAAAAAAAAAAAAAAAATAGAAAACCTAGCATACTGTACTAATACTCCTTCTTTGTTTTCTGGTGCTTTCTAATTTATGTCTATAATTTGTTAAACACCTTAGAGTCTAGAAGGCAGAAAAGATCATAAAAATATCTTCTAACTGAACAACATGACATGCAGCTTCAACTCAAGACCACCAGTAAAGTGTAAAAGTGGGTTCCCCTCCCCTCTTCATCTTAAAGCTTTTAGTATGAAGCAGTCAAAGAGTTTACACCCTTATTACCAAATGTTGTTGATTGCCTTCGAGTCAAGCACGACTCATAGCGACCCTATGAACAAAAGCGTTGAAGCCCCTCTACAACTATCGACATTTCTCAAAGTTCATAGCGTTTCCAGAGGCTTGTTATTTAGGAAGTGGATGCCACTCCTGCTTCCAAACTCCTAAATGAGGAACCCACAGATTTAAAGATATAATCTCTTTGTAAATAAACTCTACTCTTCCAAGAATCAACCCTGAACAATTTTCCTTGGATCAGAGCAACCTCTTTTGTTTAAAAATGAGTCTTATAAGATTTATATGAGGAGGGAAATTACAGGGTGGTATTAATAAGTTCAGGACTGTTCAAACACATGGACTTGACATCTTGGGTTTGCAGCCTGTAAAACTGGTTGAACTGTCTAATTAACATCTGTTTGGTCCTCGGACACTGTTGTAACTTCTCTATAGCAGGCAGATTGCCATAAGCTGCCTGTTGACTGGGAAAGGAAATGTATCTTTCCTGAAATAGGATTTATCTTTTGGAACTGCATTTTTCTTACCCATATGTAAATTGCACCTCAAGTTGTCTGTTTACTAGTAACTGTATGTAAAGTATTCTTTTAAATGTAACTTTGAACTAGCAATAAAAATATATTAAGTAGAATAATACCTAACTGAAGTATAAAAATCAATAACCATCCTTAGACTAGGCAATTTTTGAGACAATTCTCTCTTCTCTCCCAGATCTGCAACATCCTGTGCTTTGGATATTGAAGGGAGTAAATAAATAAATAAATAATGCTATAGGCATTTCTACTCCGTTCTATTGGGTATGAGTCAAATTAACTCAGTGGCAGTGGGTTTGGATGTGGGAAATTCATGTGAATTTTTTTACTTACCTTCCAATCAGCATTAGATTGGGAGAATTGAGCAAAAATGTTACTGAACAAAGTAGTTCTTTCTGTAGATAATTACCAATAAAACAGACAGGTTGTAATACCCAAATCACTTTATTACAGACCTGGAAGAACAGAGAGAATTTAAAAAAAAAATCCAAACAACCCTGTATCCCTGTCTAAGCATTGTTGCTGTGTACCGTCAATTCAGAATCAACCCATAGCTGATCCTCCAGACAAGTCTTTTACTTGAGAAGTGTAGAGAGAGATGGACAGATGGGGTAGTTTATAACAGAATGCGCTGTTAGTTTGGATGTTGTGGAAAGTTGGAAAAAAAGCTGCAAGTTTATCTTTTTTTATTTTTGTGTTATTTTTGCTAGTTTAGTTTATTGGTTTCGTCTGAATATCTTTTTTTTCCATGAGATAAGTTCGCATCTCTAGCAACTTGTTTCCTAACACTAGCTCTTCCTTTTAATCAATAGTTTTAAAATGGTTTATTTTTAGGAACTGACTGAGCTGTATCTTCTAGATGTGAGTTAACACATGTATATTATCAGCTGAGTGTATAGTGTCATAAATAATTTTGCATTTTTTATTAGAAGAACAGCAGAAAGGCAGCAAAACTCTTAAATCTTCCCATGTCAAATTAAAAATAGTAGTAATATTATGACATTCTTCTATAAATCTCACAGGATTTTGAGAAAAACTTCTCAGAGTGTATTTACAACTTTTTATTTATTTTTTTATACTGAAATTTTCAGCATCCATGAGCTTTCAACTATTGTTTTAAACTTAATACAAAATGGAGAAAAAGATAAATTTGGACAATTTTTTTTTCATCCCTGCACCTTGGCTGAAAGTTCAGTGTAGGTAGAAAGTACTGTAAGAAAAAAAAAAAAAAACAGAAACAAAGATTCTTAAACTTGTTTCAACAAAAGTGAAAAACAAAAACAAAAACAAAAACCCCACAAACAAAAAACCACAAAGAACCAACATATACACATTTAGACTTCTCTTTCAAACTCTTTCCATAGTCTTTTTTTGTTTTTTGCTGCCACCCCCTACAGTGGCTGCTACCTGAGGGAGGAGAGTGAGTTTGCAAAGGGAGTGTTAAGCTCCTATGGCCAGAACATGACTTTTTAAATGTTAAATGCTGATTTGCTGGTTTGTGAATGGTTAGGGTGAAATGAAAGAGTTTGCAGCTCTTTTGGCAACTAAAATCATTAGCTCAGCCCTAAACTGATTAGTTATTAACAGAGAAAAACATTAAAAACTAAGACCAAACATATTTACTATAATGCAGATCAGCACCAGATAGAGGATAAACACCAGCTAGCTATTACCAAATCTTACTTTGCATTAACTATTAATATTAGCTCTGAATTTCTCAAGCAGAAAGAACTGAAAAACAAATTTAAGCCTCATGTCGCAATGTTGAAAAATGCTATGGGCAATATATTGAATGACCCAGAAAGCATCAAAAGAAGATGGAGGGAATACACAGAGTCACTGTACCAGAAAGAATTGATTAACACTGAAAAATTTCAGGAAGTTCCATATGAACAGGAGCCAATGGTAATGAAGGAGGAAGTAGAAGCTGTATTGAAGGCACTGGCAAAAAATAAGGCCCTAGGAACTGATGGGACTTGTTTCAATTATCAGATACAGCCTTGAATGCACTCACCAGTCTATGCTAGGACATTTGGAAGATGGCTATCTGGCTAATGGATTGTAAGAGGTCCATATTTGTCCCCATTCCTAAGAAAGGTGATCCAACTGAATGTGAAAATTATCAATGTATTTTATATCATATGCAAGCAAAATACTTTGAAGATCATTTAAAAATAACTGGAACAGTACATAGATAGGGAAATGCCAGAAGTTCGAGCAGAATTTAGAAGAGGCTATGGCAACAGGGATATAATTGCTGATGTCAGATGGATCCTGACTGAAAGTAAAGAACACCAGAAGAATGTCTATTTATGCTTTATTGACTATGAAAAAACATTTGACTGTGTGGATCATGACAAGTTGTGGCTGACATTGAGAAGAATGGGAATCCCGGAGCACTTGATTGTGCTCATGCAGAACCTACACCTGGACCTGGAGGCTTTTGAGCAGGGGATCAGTACATGGTTTGGAATTGGGAAGGGAGTGTGCCAGAGTTGTAATCTATCGCCATATGTATTCCATCTGTTTGCTGAGCAAATTATACAAGAAGCTGGACTCTATGAGGAGAAATGAGGCAGCAGGATTGGAGGGAAACTAATCAATAACCCGCATTTTGCAGATGACACAATCTTGCTTGCTGAATGTGAGGAGGCCTTGAAGCACTTGTTGCAGAAAATCAAGGCATGCAGCCTTCAGTATGAATTGCCTCTCAATGTCAGGAAAATGAAGATTCTTACCACTGGACCAATAAGCAACGTCATGATGGAAGGAGAGGTAATTGAAACCATCAACATCATCTTCCTTGGATCCACAATTAACACCCTTGGTACCAGCAGTCAAGAAATAAGGAGACACATTGCACTGTGAAAATCTGCAATTAGGGATCTTTCCAATTCAAGAAGTAGTCATGTCAGTTTGAGGATTTCCAATTACTAGCTATGCACCCAAGACCTAGACATGAACAAGGATGACAAAAAAAGAATTGATGTCTTTGAACCGTGGTGTTGGAGAAGAGCACTACATACCCCATGGATGACCAGGGGAAAGATAGATATGAATTGGAGAAGGTGCAGCCTGAATGTTCTTTGGAGACAAGAATGATGAGACTTCACATAATTTGGACATGTTTCTAGGTGGTATTGTTCATTGGAGAAGGACATGATGTTGGGAAGGGTGGAGGGGCAGCAAAGAAGAAGACCTTCAACTAGGTGTATATATAGGGGGACTGTTGCAATGGGGGTTTGTGTGTGAGAGGATAACACAGGATAGAACACTGCTTAGATCTTTTGCTCATAGGGTCACTATGAGAGTCATACTCAACTCAATGGCACCTAACAAGAACAATTAGTATTAAAAAATTAAGTTTTCTTAAAATCCTATTATATACTTTTCACAGGAAGTTTGAGAGAGTGCAAAAAAAGGTAAAAAAGAGGTAAAATGCTTAGGTAAGAAAGTGAGGGGATTACGTTTTTATATAACTTCTTACTAAGAGGAAACATTAGATTACTAGTACAAAGAGTTAGAGAAACAAAAGAAAAGATGATACTTGCTGCTT